TCTGTCTGTCTGTCTGTCTGTCTGTCTCTCTCTCTCTCTCTCTTGTAATACATATAGTCCTCAACTTACAACCACGCGATTAGCGATTGTTCAAAGTTACAACAGCACGGGAAAAAGTCACTTACGACCTATCCTCATGCTTATGAGAGTTGCAGCATCTCCACAGTTACATGATCAAAATTTGGGTGCTTGACAACCAGCATGTATTTACAATTACAGTGTCCTGGGGTTATTGGGGGAAGCCCGATTCACTTAACAGCTGCAGTGATTTGCCCCACAACCATGGCAAAAAAGGTCACCTTATTTAACAATGGGAATTCTGGCCATAAGTTGAGGACTATTTGTAGAAACATTTGTGAATTACTTCCAAACCTATACCAATTTTTTTTAACTCTTCCTTTTTTTTACTATTTTACCACTTGTTTTATGCTCTAGGGCAGTTTGGCTGTTTTAAGGTGTGTGGACTTCAACTCCCAGAATTCCGCAGCCAGTACAGTGGGAGATGGTCCACATATCTTATAGCAACTAAGGTTGAGAGACACTGCTCTAGGGATCTTTGAATATTTTGGAAAACAGAAAAGGGCAACCAATTAATGATTTCCTTTTTCAATAGTAAATAAGACCTCCAGCATGACCACATCCCTTTTAACACCTCCATCATCTGAATATTTTTAATATCACCTATATAAATATAGATTTTGAGAGAACTTTTTCAAAATCTTTTTATGTAGATTTTTAAAAAAAATATTTCTCCAAAGTAAGCTTATAGGTACAGATAGTCACTTTTGCTTTTTACATGCAACTTTCACTTTTTTTAAAAAAAAAATCATGCATTTTATACTAATTTGGGAGCAAGGGTTAATGTAGATTTCTGACTGGACAAAAATGGATGGTAGAACAGCTTGGTTTATTAATACAGTGATAATTAAGACAACCTTTGCAAATCTGTAGTAGATTTCCTTAATGTCCCACTTGCAGGCACACTAATTTAATATGGTATAGCTATGTTGGGATAAATGGGGAGGTATAATACAAACTGAAAATGTTTTCTTACCAAACCAGGCCTGTTGTTCACCTTGCACTTCAATTGCTAATCCAAAATCTGCCAGTTTTACAGCTGCTCCTTTTGACTTGCTTGCTAGAAGCAAGTTCTCAGGCTTTATGTAGGGCAGAAGAGGGGGGGGGGGGAAGAAAAAAGAAAGTAGAAGATAAGTCAGCATTTCTAATTCAGTACTTACTTTATGTAGATTATGTTGGAGACAGAGACAACATGCTTTTCCTGTTTTCAAAGATAACTAATAAATGTTTGATTCTAAGAAATTTTAAATGGATCCAAAATCCACAAATTATTTAGAGTAGGGCTGTTTTATTCTGTTACATTTTTAAACCCTCTGTTCTCTTTAGAAACCCTTTTAGAAGTCTCTAAGACTGGTCTGTCAAGTATCTACAAATTTTATTCGGGAATCTGAAGTTTTCCCCAATAATAGAATTATTAACTTTCTCCAACTTGATGCCCATCAAATTAGTTGGCCTGAAATTCCCAGAATTTCAAGCTCTTTAACACTTCTGGAGAACACTAGATGGCCCACAGAATCACCTCTTCAATGCATTCCTCTTTTGGTCTCATATAACCGATTACTGACATGAGACCAACCCTCAAATATTTTTCCTTGCTAAAAACAGATATATCATAAACATAGTTTATTACAAAAAGGAAATATTACCTAGACAGGTTACCTATATCTGTCTTGTCAAAATCTATATGACTGCTAGATACAAATAAAACTTTCTTGCAATTCAATTATGATAGTCCTAGGATCTAGCTTATATTATAATTAAGATCATCTTAAAATGTCAACATTCCATTATATCTAAACATACTCAATACTACAGGTAGTCCTCAACGTACAACCATAATTGAGTCCAAAATTTCTGTTAAGTGAGACATTTGTTAAGTGACTTTTGCTCCATTTTACGACCTTTCTTGCTACAGTTGTTAAGTGAATCTGGCTTCCCCACTGATTTTGCTTGTCAAAAGGTCGCAAAAAGTGACCACATTACCTTGGGACATAGCAATGGTAATAAGTATAAGTCAGTTGCCAAGCATTTGAATTTTGATTGCATGATCATGGGGATGCTACAAAGTAGTCATAAGTCACTTTTTTCATTGCCATTGTAACTTTGAATGGTCACTAAATGAACTGTTGTAAGTCAAAAGCTACCTGTATTTTGGCATTTTGGAATCTAAACTTTTTTTAAAAAATATTGTTTATAACAAGAATTATAAGAAGTGCAATCAATTTTACAAACAATTTGCTGGGCTAATTAATCTGTAAGGTTTTTTAAGGCAGGAAAAAAGTAAAGCTTAGTTCTTAGTAAGATGATCAATGTTTTCTATCTACAACTTTCCTATGCAGGAGCTGTCATGTTAAACCAGCTTCTGTCTAAACTTGCACTTTTTGGATGGCTGGGAATGGAATTTCAAAAATTCTCATAAAGTCAATTTAGAGCACCTACATTTTGATAGGCAAATACCTAGGTCTTGCACAACACAAAACTGGGATAACAACCTAATCTTCTTCACTCCGTGAGAAACACTGAATATTGTAAACAAGTAACTTTGGACATAAATATGTGAAGCAAATACTGCAGTCATAAGGAAAGAAATATGGTCGAATAATTACAAAACAGCCATACACTCAATAGCAAGCTCATCTGACTTCTGGGCAACTGACTATGCCCTTAAAAAAACATGCATCAGCCATTTCAGGACGATGGAAATGTCAATAGATTTGTCATGCATGAGTTCTGAATAGGTTGGGGCAAATGTACACAACTGGACAAAAATATGGGGGATTTGATGGAATCTTGAGACTCCATCCAAGAAAGGAACAAGTCAGTGTGTGGATCACAAAGTTGCACTTTAGCTGCAGATGTGCATATAGTAGACCGAAAACAATAATTTATTTTTGAGCTTATTATAATACTGATAAAAGAAGCATACAACATATTTTGTGTTAATATCTAAACTGTATGTATAAATAGTATCCTAAAAGAATATTACAAATCTAAATGTATATTTTACCACCACATACTTGATGATCTAGCTGGCAAAATAAAATACAGTCACGTCACAAGGGGTAATTCTCTATGATTTTTCTGGAAAAATGATATTTGGCCAAATCCAACAATGATAGTGAAAGAAATGGAACTAGTCACAAGGTGGATGCAAAGCTAACTTTTAAAGAAAATTACACCTGTGTTGAAATTAAGTCCAATTAATTGTATTCTATAAATGTGAGTCAGATTTGTTTTAATGGGTTTTCAGTACTAATTCAAGACTGAATGAAGTCATTCATCTCTTGAAACATTCTGGGGCCATCTTGTACATCATCCATGCAAAATGATTTTAAAATATACATAGGTGTTTAAATAGTATATGATTTACAGAATCCCTTATCCGAGATAAAATGTTCGGGTTTTGTATATGAAGGGGTTTGATTTAAAAACAACACAGAATCCAGAATGTTGACAGAAATAATTTATTGTGTATATTGTTATACTGGTGGCAAGATGAATGTTTTTAAAAACAAGGACTTCTGTTCTTTTAATCATTTTTCTTTTAAAAGAATCTCTTAACAGTTTTGAAACTATTTCTATTCTGTCAAATCCCCTATTCTAATAGAAGATATTTTTAATTAATTCTTTGTTTTGTATTAAATTTGACAAAGAATCGTGGGTTATTTTAAATAAATTAATTGCGATGTAGGCTCTTGTGTATGCATTAACTAGACACCCGGGGAAGCAAATGTTAGGTAGCTAACTAAATAAATGTTCCCTGATTACAGAAAAAAAATATATACAATTGTATACCCAAACACACGTCTTCATTTTTTCTTATTGTATTCTTATGTATACCTTCCTATCTAGGCAATAATTTTATGCATCATATGGGTTCTAGTCCAAAGCATATTTAGGACTATTATTAGAAATAATGTACAGAAATATATGCCACACTCAACCTCCCCAATTATCCTCACCCAGTGTAAGATAGTGCTGGATATTTGTCATGGTTAGCCAATAAATACATCAACATACTGTAACATACAGAGGATAAATGACTGCAGAATATGATCTAGTTTGGGAATAAATCATTCCAAATAAATGTCAAGAGGAACTACTGTTATCTAAAGTGAGCCATGCAGATTTGCTATGATGAATGTTCATAGTATGAAATATATTAATAAATTCCAGAGACCCTATTGCGTCTCTTCCTTCTGAAAATGTGTTGCAACAATAACAGGCAGCTCTATAGTTTACTATTGTACAGATCTCATCCAAACAGGGAGTAACTGAAAGAAATTGCTTTAAAATGTTCTATGAGATTCTGCTTAGTTTTCAGATTGGGTTATTTAGATATTATTGTTACAATTTGTAAAACATAATAGAAAATATGTTGTTCTAAATTTATGAAAAGAAAATGTGCATTTATGTGTAAGTGCGTGTAAGCTCTGAATTAAGTTCCAAAAGAATGACAAACCATTTGCTCATATTCATTACTACTGTTCTACATTTGCTAACTATATATTTTAGGTCTAAAGATTTTTTTAATTGTAGAAATAAGATTTAAAAATCAGTTGGAACTGCTGGTCAATAATGTTACATTAGGAAAAAAACTGACAAAATTAATCATATGTGAAAGCTGATTAACCTTAGCCATATTTGCATAACTGAATTAATATGTATATAGAGAGGTGGGAATAAAGTAAGCAAAGCATCACAAGAATCCTAAATCTGCAAGGAAAAAATAGTTCTTGCCACCATGAACAACTTGCAAAATAATCAGTGGATGCCTCTTTGCTTCTAGATGCAAAAATGCAGCTATGTAGTGCTTTGAATCTGTGATATATGATTATCTTCCCCCACAGCATTACTCACCTTCAAGTCCCGATGGACTACGCCCATCTGATGGCAATGTAGCACAGCCTCCAGGATCTGCTGAATGCAATGACTGCATGCAAACACCAGGGGGCGTATATTAGTTCGAAGCTGTACACTCACTGTCTGTATAACCTCAGTGAGACTGGGTTAAAGTGCAAAATGATGAACAAGCTGAGATCGTGATTCACAACCTCTTAAAAATGTAGGGACCTGCATTCCTCCGCTAGAACAGCTATTTCCTCAAACACTGTGAATGTGCACTGCAAATACATGCATGCTTTAGCCCACTTTTATGTAGGGCATGAACAGGAGGGGTAAGGATATGTTTGGGCTCAACCTCAACAAAAGGGTTGAAGGCAATATTCTTGGGCATATACATAATATATTGAGAAGAAGACAATGAGAGTATATCATTGCTTTGATATGGTTGGGTTAAATATCTGGTGCAGTTTGTTCCTTCTCTCCCTTACTCGCCTTGGAGGCCTTTTTGCACCAGCAACCCTGAAAGTAAATTTACTTTAAGTAGTTTTGTATTTGAGATGAGTTATTCACCCTTCATGGTTTCATTTAGTCAAGCAATTATTTGATCACTGTTGCCTGAGGGATCTATCCTACTCTAGCAGAGCAATGCATAACTAGTCATTCTGCTACAATAACCCATTGTCTCTGAACAGAAGTGGTGTTTTAAACCTGCAGGCTAACATCTATCACAGACAAAGGTCAGTCACAGATACAGGCTACAGGACTGAGGAAATCTCCTTCCAAAACAGTTCCTGATACCTATGGCACCTACCACACCTCTTGGAAGGCCCCTGTATTAGCAGTACCTATTCTACCTTTTTCTGTGATGGACATTAAACCTGTGACACTTGCAGAGTGGAAAGCAGCATCATGCATTATCCATTTCTCATATTAAGGGTGAGGAGGATAGCCAAAGGAACTTCTCAGCCGACCCACCCTTAAAACTCAAGCCAGGAAGAAAAAAGAAAAGAGACAGAAGAGAGACAAAAACAAATAAAATAATAAAAACGTCTTAGCAAACCTACGGGGCACCAGATACTGACCTTGAGGTCTCTGTGCACTATGCCATTTAGGTGACAATGATTAACACTTTCTAGAATCTGCTGTATACAATGACTGCAAAGATACAAGGGCAGAATGGGAGGGGGGGGAAAACATTTTAAGGCACATAATCACATTACAGAAAATAATTTAATAATAATAATGAAATAACTTAAAATAGCAATAACTTAAAATGATCAAATCACATTTTTGGACAGGTTTTAATTACACACAGAACTGAAACACAGCATTTCTCTCTCTTTGGAAAAACTGTCAAGAGACTCAAAAGAAATGACATTTAACATATAACATATAATGCTGCTAGATATAATCTTTTGGTGGAATATTTGCTGAAATGTGAGAGGAAAAGTTAAATATATATTAGGTGATAGATCTATAGTAAATAATACAAGCTTATTGTAGCTTATTGTGCAGTGTAAATATCAATATAAATAGCACAGAGAACTTGTGTCACCATTGGTCATGATGGTCAAGAATATGCATAGTGACCAACAAAGAATTTTGATCATTGACTAGTCAATGTGTTTGGAATGATGTTGAAAAATATGAAATTGTGGTTATTTTACAACCTGAAGAGCATGAATATTTGCTACCAATGTAGGTTAAGAGTGCATATTAGTTGAACAACAAACAAATACAATGCAAATCCTTCTAATATATGCATGCTTTCCACATATTAATAAATGGCATGGCTATTTTTATGTGTATTATTCTTTCATGTTTAACTCCAACATATATACAGCATTTTTATATAGGTGCATAAGGAAAAAAGTAAAACAGAGCAAATTAAAAAAAGCACAAAGCTTCTTGAAAACCAAACAGTTTAATAGAACAGGAAATGGGGGGGGGTCAGTTTGTGTAATTGAAAGGTGCATTTGAAGCAGTCTGTTACTAGCAGTCATCTTTAAAAAAAACAATAGGGAGTCTCTGGAATTAATTTAGTAGGATCCTAGGGGGAAAATTCAGTAGATAACCTCATTGAAGAAGAAGAGGTATCTCTTTTTTCTTCCTCTTCTGCTAAAAATGCCTGCAGTGCTCTTTCACAGAAGTTGATAAGGTGCTCCATGATGTTTTTAGAGAAAGTAGAGTCAGCAAAAATAACTTCTTTTCTCCAGCAGCGATAACTCTGCTTATGAACCGTTACTTTTCTGTTGTTAGAGACGACGCACCCTTCAACCCATTCATTTATTTATCTTCCTCTCTATCTCAGCCATTATATTTATTACACACTTGCTAAATATGGAAAAAAATAGATAATAAATTATAAAAATGGGCCTTTAGATGCCTTGAGTTCAGTACTAAAGAAAGTAAAGAATAATTCTTTGCTTTTACAGCCAACAGATGAACTTTTTATTGATGTCAATAAATTAAAAGACTGAACATTATTCTGATATCACCACTACAGTGGCAGGCAAAGAATAAAGCCACATGAATTGTTTTTCATTGTCTGCAATGGAAAAGGAAGAAAAAAAAGCTGACGGTTTGGGTTCCAGAAAGAGGCTAGTTAGGGGTATTGGAACTCATTAGTTTTGGAATCTTTTAGAATTTGCTGGCTTCCTTGATTTTAATGGGCACAAATTATTTACAGTAGACCACAAGTATCACCCTTTTCCTTTTTAAAACTCCAACAAAAACTAGTATGAAACTTCCTACATGAGCAAATCAATCACTGCCATAACTATTTTTCCTTTTTTCCCTCAGGAATAGTTGAATAGGATATTTTGGGTGGTATTTGAAGAAAGAAAAAACGTACTTTACTACCATCATGTTGCTCTAGTCTAATGACAGAGGAAATGTAATATAAGAGGAAAGTAGTATTGATACAACCCATAGAATAATAATGGCACATTTATTTGTAGAACTGAATTCTCATATGGTAATATTCCAATGAGACATGCATTGTGGAAAGAAATATCTAAAAATAGACTCTGCAAAAGCAAACAGGTGGAATCCCAATATGCTAAATGAGTACTGTTTTCCAAGATTGAGATTTAAGAAAAGTTACTGTAATTAGTTGCAGGGTATCACACTAAATGTATTTTTTTTTTATCACATTTAAAGACCACCCAGATGATTTTTTTTAAAAAAATAAAAAATTAGCACTGACCTTGCGTCTGCTTCACTGTAATACTCTCTTGCAACAATGTCCTCAAATAATTCACCTCCAGTAACTCTAGTAATGATATAAAACATTTTTACAGTTAAAAAAACTAAGTTGGAAATTTATTTTTTACCCAACTTTTTTGCAAATACTAAATTATGGCTGCTTCATATAATGAAGAATCTGCAACCAGACTCGGTTCTAGATACAGATAATGTATATATCCTTAGTAAATAAACGTTTATTGGACCTACACATATTTTTTTTTAAAAAAAATTACTGACTTCTAAACATTCTGCACAGAAGAATTTTTGCCTACATAAAGTATGAAATTTCTTTTACTATTATGGTCTTTCAGTCATTCACTGTTCTGGCCTTCATCATATAATCCTCAAAAGGAAGGCTTATTTTACTGTTGTTGTTTTTTTCAAAACTGCATGAAAAACCAGGAATGAGTAGGTATATTTCATTGTTGGACCTTTATAATATAATGCATAAATAAACTGCACAATTTATTGCACTATCCAATGACGCTATTTTAAGCAGATAAAGTAGCAAAGGATTATCTTCCTATACCATTTCAAATTGCCACTCTCTCACTTTGGATGAGATACCAGTTCTATTTGGCTATTATTCAACACTTAACTTGATGGTTTTCCAACATAAAAAGCAGGATTGTGTTCCAATGACGGCATTGCAAAAAGAGTACAATTTTGCTCATCTGCTCAAATCACATTATTTTTTTAATGATTTTTGATGAATTTTATGAATTTTATATAGTCTTTATCTTTTATTCATCTTTATTTAAATACTGAAGATTTTCAACATTTAGCTAATTTTTTAAACAAAGTCCAAATAAAGCATACAATAAAGAATCGAGAGAAAACAATTTATATAAAATGAGGCTTTTCATTTCATTTTTTTTTATTTAGTTCAAAACACATCATTCTGTGAAGTCTGAAATGAGAAATGTTCAGGCAACAACAAGCCCACTTAATGACCTTTACATTTCACCCAACAGTGTTTTCAGCAAAAAGAAATGTGCTTCATAAACAAAAGACAAATTCTTTATAAAAATATTTTTAAATGCTGGATATAACTGGGTGAAAGGACGCCTTATTTTTATTTATTTTCAAATTTCTAGACTGCCCATCTCACCTGAATAACTCTAGGTGGTTTACAAATAAAAACCATACATTACTGTGGAAGCATAATTAAAATCAGAGTTAGAAACAGAATTTAAAAATGTTAAAAATTAAAAGGTTAAAAAGTTAAAGAGGCAGAGGGAGTGCTCTTAAGCTACAAACCACTCCCAAGGTGGCATATCCTTCTTAAATGCCCATGCCAGTTGGCAAAGATGGTCTTAATGCTCATGTGGAAGGCCATAAGTGGGGGTGCCCACCTCACCCCTGGGGGCAAGATGTTTCATATTTATTGACTACATTTACTTAACAGCAATTATATATTTTTTGTTTAGTTATCTCTTTATCTTTATTATCTTTTTAGTAAATCAGGTTGCCTGAAAAACTAAATAGGTTTGCGGTATAAAAATGTACCCATTTTTTCTGACAAATCTTACAGATTTTGAATTATTTCCAGTTTACATTGTTATAATTTTTTTTCAACATTTCTGCTTAAATTGTAATAGTTTTGTTTATTTGAAATATCTGTCTTGATAAAATGAGAAATTCACACCAAGCAACAAAAATAATTTAAAACATACCACAGACTATTTCTGATCTAATGTTGTGTTTGTTGAATTTCTCTTCACAATAGCGTCAATGTTGCTGCAGAAAACAACATCCTGGCTTTGTTAACCTGGAAATTCTGGTTTAACTCCAGCTAGAAATCAAGAACTGATCAGAATGTACAGACTACAGTTTCCTTTTATTCTTTATTAGAATAACGATTGCCAAGCATCAATATTATGGGCTATGCTTATATAATTTGGGTTGTTTTTCATAATTCTTTTTTCATTCTTAGAGAATCCCCGAGAAAGTCCATCAAAATCTATCTATTCCATAAATAGTTTTCAGTAGTTATAAACATGGATTTCACAGAGATACTGTCTGAACATGGTGAACGAGAGTTGCCTGGAAGGCACTGGCTTCCCTTGCAGATAGAAGATGGCTACTGGTTCTTTGTATACCAAGAACAAAAACTTATTGGGGCTATATATATAAAAATATGTTTATAGATTTGTTTATGGGGTCCTCTGGCAATCTCTGCTCTCTTTGTTTTTTATCTGGATCATATAACATAGTCTTTCATTTTATATATTACATGCTATTGGACAAACTATAATCAAGCAAGTCAACTTACAAATCAAAGACTAAGTAATGAAATCCTTCTTCTGATATGCTGTCATGAAGCCGCACTGTTGAAAGAAGAGAAAAAATTGTCTATTTTTTTCCTAGGTACTCATAATTTTATTATGCTTTCCTTCTACCCTTCTGTTAATATATAATATTCTACTCTTTTCCTTGGATTACTTCTTCAGTTGAAAACAATGCTGTCATACAAAACAGATACATTTGCAGTAAGCATAATTTTGTAAATATTATAGATTAACATCTAATATATTCTTTTACATTCATAAATTTTTGCAAATTAAATTTCAGTTTTGATAGCTATATGCAGGCCCCAAGTAAGGAAATCTATCCATTAAGACAGGGCTTTTCAACCAGTGGTACGGGTACCACCTGTGGTACATTGGCACCTGGCAGGTGGTATGCGACCATCCTAGAAAAGTGGTAGTGGGGGAGGGGAATGAGCTGAACCGGTGGCAGCACAGCACAAGCCTGAGCGAGAGATGGCTGGAGCTGCAGGGCTGTCAGGGCTCAGCGGAAGCGCCAGGATTAGTGCTTCTTCGCGACTGTCAGGGCTCAGTGGAAGTGCCAGGATCAGCGCCAGGATCCAGCTGCAGCTCGGCACTGATCCTGGCACTTCTGCTGAGCCCAGAAGAAGCGCCGATCAGCTGGAATGTTGCAGCATCTCCAGGGTCTTGTGATTTACATTCAGATGCTTGGCAACTGATTCATATCTATGACGGTCACAGTGTCCCAGGGTCATGTGAAGTGACCAAAACCTGCTGCAACCACCCAGCAGATGGGGGAAATAAAAACCAAACAACCCCCCCACCCCACTGCCAATCCTCAACAGAAATGCTCACAACAATGAAGACCTCGGACAGGAGGAAGAGCGCCACCGGGTGGGCAGGCAGGTGTCTTGCTCGGCTACGCCTTGGGGGGCACTTTTTCAGTGCCATTGTACCTTTGAACAGTCACTAGGCGAACTGTTGTAAGTCGAGGACTACCTGTACTTTATCACTTTTTTCCTTTTTGGGGGGGTCATCAAATTTTTGACACCTTGCTAGGCGACTGGTGGTACTCGGATATTGCCATATCCTAAAAATGGTACAATGGGTGAAAAGGTTGAAAAGCCCTGCATTAAGAGAAAGAAAATGTTTTTCCTGAACCCATTAAATAAAAATCAGCACATACAATGTTTCAAGTGTCAGCAAATACTGAGTAGCAAACAGAATAAGCTGATCAACCATTACTTTAAAAATGAAAATATGCAAATGATATAATACAATAACCAAGGCTCATTCTCTTTCACACATTTCATAGTCAATCTATCAAAAACACTTTGTTCTAGCTAGAAAGGAATAGATACGGAACTCAAAATATTTTGTTTTACATTAGGAATCCAGTCAGGGCATGGTATACTGACAGAAGATCTACTGTACAGAAAGGTAGTTTAGTTTAACCATACATTTCCATTTTTCAAGTTCAAGCTTGAAATGACATAACCCTTGATTCAAAACATATTTTTGAGAGCTGAAATGCGTAGTCTGACCTTCTAAGTCAGGGGTCCCCAACCCCTGGTCTGTGGACCAGCATTGGTCCGCAGCATGCTAGAAACTGGACCACACAAACAAACTAAGCCCCATCCACAAGATGCAGGCAATACACTAAACCATGCTGCCTCTGGCCTGCGGAAAAACCTCTCTCCACGGAACCAGCCCTAAAGGTTGGGGGCCACTGTTGTAAGTGAACAATTAGTTTTATTAAGTATTCATTTGACTCCTAGGTAGAAATGCATACATTTCACTTGCAAAAACCTCTTTTACTTCTTTATGATCAATGGAATTTATGGACTAACAAAAAATCATTTTGCTTTCTTGAAAGCTGGACCCACAATGCATTCATAGCCATAACTTCCCATAATGAATGATTCTTCAATAAATAACATTTGGCCACTGATAACTGCTAGCTTCAGATCCTGCACTTGATGGTCTTTTAACCACCACCACCACTATCATTATCACCTCTTCAGTTATTCAAATTCTTATTTCAGAATAGGTACTATTTTGTTTCAGAAAATAACACTGTATTTTAAAAGTAAAAATAAAACTCTGAGAACCTGTAACATATATTTAACCACCCTCTCTCAACTATACATATTTCTAAAAAACGAGGAGGAAGAAATATGCCGTGGCAAGCAATGTAGGCTGGACTTCTTTGCTTTCACCCCGTCACTTTGAATTATCATTTAGGTCCCCAACTGAAATCCTGTCTTGAATACAGGCATTTTACTGTCTCCTGCAGTCCAAATACTATATTCTCTTAATCACATGACTGCAGGGAAAAATTAAGCTTCCTTGCATCATATTATGAACTACTTAGCTTCTTTCATTATGATTTCTAAGCTAGTTTTGTATGTGACTAATATCTAAATTATCTCTTTCCAACTTAACTAGCTTGTTACTCGGAATTTATTCAATATTTGACAAATGTTTTCTTGTTAATGAGTTTTAACACAGATTCAGCAAAGAGCAGGTACAGAGAAAGGAAGTAAGGATGATAAGGAGATTACTAAACTAAATTGTATAGGGTGAGATTGAGGAAACAGCGCATGTTTACCCTTTAAGGAAATAAAAATCTGGAACAGTAGATCAGTTTAATAGAGGAGCCAGCTGTGAAGACAGTGATAACTTCCCCTAGACCGGATGAGTGAATGCTAGACAGCTATCCATTCAAGATGTTTTTATTGAGATTTCAGTACTGAAACAGGTTTTGAATCAATAGCGTAAATTACCTCCTCAGTGATTGCATAATTCTATGAACATATGAAAACAAAACACATCAGACTTGCCTTTGGTTAGATGGTCTGCTATGCAAATTTGATTAATAAATAAAGAAATCAATACTGTGTTCTCTTTATTTTTCTGTTATGGAAGCTTTAAAGGGGCCCCTTTAAAATGTACCTAAGTTGAATCCAAGAGCGCTGTTATATTAGTGACATGCTTCTAATATTTATTTTCCATCCTTGTGTGCAAATGCAAAATCAATACTGATTCTGCTAAAACAAGGTGCTGCACAATTCATTACCACTCCATTATGTTAACTGTAACTGATGCTAGTTTTTCCTGTAGCCCTTGCATCAATATTAATGGTATTTTCCCTATTTTTCCTACTAGTCTATACAGCTTTATTTCGTGGTAATAAAATTTAAAAGACTATGAACATTTTAAAATAATGACAAAACTATTAGCATTTTTTGTCTTCAAAATATTTCAGAACAAGAACAGTTTGCTCTTGTGTAAACTAATGTTTTACATTTCATTAAGCTTTAAAATTTATTTTCCTTTTTTCTGCTCATTATGTTTAAGAAATAGCAATAGCACTTAAGACCTATATACCGCTTCACAGTGTTTTACAGCCCTCTCTAAGCGGTTTACAGAGTCAGCATATTGCCTCCAACAATCTGGATTCTCATTTTACCGACCTCGGAAGGATGGAACCTTGAGCCGGTGAGAATTTAAAACTGCTGGAGCGAGCAATCAGCAGAAGTAGCCTGCAATACTGCATTCTAATCACTGCACCACCACAGCTCTTGGTATAAATATATACCAAAATAAGAGCTTGGGCGTTCTCTACGAGCATTCCATTTTAAAGTAGCTAATGACATAATTTATATTATTAGTAAAACTAAACAAACTGTAATAGTAAACACTTTAAAAAAACAAACAAACATGGATATAAATGATAATGTACAGGCAATGACAAAATTCAGTTCTGAAATTCTTCCTGTCCTAAATTGTTGTGCAGTGTGTTTACAAATGAGATTTCTCTAACATTGGGCTATAACCAACTATCTTATTTGTTTTTTAAAAGATGCTTTTGGGGTTTATATTAGACCCAGAGGCTTTTGTTAAAAAAAAGTTGTAATGATGATGGAGTCTACAGTTTTTTGCCTCATTGAATGCTGCCTTCCTTTTTATTTGCTTTATATCAGAGGTCTCCAACCTTTCCGGGCTCGAGGATCAGAGGAAAGGAGAGCAGCTTCAAAATTGGTGTGTGTGCGTGTGCACGGGGCCATGATCACTGGCGTGGCACTAGCATCCCCACGGTGGCTAGCGGCACATGCGCAAACGGGCTCCGGACACCCACCCCCGCTAGCATTCCCGTTCACGCTTGCATGCATGCGCAAACAGGACTGTGGGCGCTAACACAAGTGGGGGGAAATGCGCATACACGCACTGGCCAGTCGTTTCTGCAGCCTGCTGCCCAAGAGCCCATGGCCCAGTCCCAGGCCGCGGACCATAGGTTGGGGACCCCTGCTTTATATAATTAAAATAAGCTTTAAAACATTCATTCAGGTTAGACAACTGGGTAAATAGCCATACTACTGCCTACACATTCCATATTGCCTGCAATTGCTTTACTATATTAAATACATTTAGATGTCAGAGAGAGAGAGAAAGAAAAGGGGAAGGAGGTCAGAAGAAACAAAATTTGAAACAAAAGGGAAGGAAATGATTGTTGCTATATTTGGCACTACACTTCCAGTTGTCAAGTCTGTGCAGTCAAGTTCCACACAACTTTGTTAGAAACAGAAATGTTTCAATATTCTAGCAAGGGTTCCTAAAATCAATCAAACTGATGGCTGGCAGGAGCTATTTCAATTTTGATTAATAAAACACAGGTAGACATGAAATTTGACTTTTATTTGGCACCTTCAAACCATTTCCAATGCTGCATCTTCCATTCTGTATTTGTGATTCATCACTGTGTTATCCCTCAAAACAGAGAATATGCACTCTGTCTGAATTTACATTTCCCTAATTAACACATTTATTGGAAACATGGTATATTTATTTCTAACTTGATTTAATCAGGTTTACCATCTTCCGGTTCCTCACTAAATCTTTTTTACTTAGTCAGAGACTCAAAGACAACTTCTGAATACCTTATTAATTCAAACATCTAGCTATCTGAATTTCACAACATAATTCCTCAGGCTGACGAGTTTTAAAAATGAATAATCTATTATTATTTGACAGTTGAAATAGGAGATTCTAAAAGAAAT